AATAGAAATATTTTGGATTAGACAAAGGGGAATGAAGGGAAAGGAAAAGGGATGGGAATGGAAAAGACAGTAGAATGAAGAGAACATAGCTTTCCTATGTTCACATATAAATATACTACCAGTGTAACTTCACATCATGTACAACCACAAGAATGAGACGTTAAATTCCATGTATGTGTGTCAAAATATTCTACTGCCATGTATAACTGAAAAGAACCAGTAGAAATTTTTTTAAAAGTTGCCTACTTTTAAAAATATGACATTACTGCAATCAATGAACATTTTAACTTCATTGGACCCAAACAAGCAAACTGCAGCCATCAAACAGACTTAATTGAAGGTGGAGTCATTCAAGGAGCAATGAAATTATTTTCTTTTCTCTGTGAAATGTATGTGCCTGATGGGCATTTACAGATTTGTAGTGAATTAATACTGAGCAATTATAAATTGTTCAACCTCCAAAGTAGGTTGATTTGAGATGGATCCCCGTTTACCAGATAAGCAAACTGACAAACAGGAAGAAAGAAGATACCCTGTATTCTACCTTTGAGTTTACTGTTAGCCCAAAGAAAAACTGCTTAGTTCTTTGTCATTATTTTCTTCCTCCTCCTCTTTTCTCCCCCCGCTCTCCTCCTCCTTCCTTTTTTCTGTAGTTCAATGCCATTCACTAACTGTTCATTCTTTTTTGATTTAGACTTTCTATAATCCTCATTGGCACTAGGCATTTTTATGTTCTCTTGTGAAGCATACACCTGAGGTCTTCAAGGTAAATGATTATCGTCTTGAAGACAGAACTAAAAACAGTAAGAATTACATAAGGCATAGGATGGGCTTATGAGCCAATCTAAGAAACCCATTAGTTGATCGAGCCATTGAGGTTTAATACATAGAACTCTGAGGAAGATTGAGTGACTGTGATTGTATACATAAAAATGGGTGAGATTTTTTTAAACAGTCCTAAAATTAGGATTTGATACATTTGATAAATTTTGATTCATTTGATACAATTATGTTGTGATACAATTTACTAAGAATGACTGTTGACAAGGCATCAAAGAGATTGATGCTAGTCAGGTTAGAGAAGGATGCCAGTCTCCACTGAACTTCAGTAAAGACTTCACATTAATTTGATGTTCTTTACAGTTTGGTGCCGTGAATTACAGTTGAAATTTCCCTTCAAGGAAACAGAGGCATGGAGACATTTAATAGTATACCTATTCCAGAAATGAAGTCAGAGCACTAAATTAAAACGTAGGGCATCTGAGGATTCCATATCTGATATCACCCATTTAGCCATATAAAGGATGAATTGAGTCACCAGTGAAAATTCTGGGGGAGGGGGACCCTAAAATAATTTCTTCTGACTATGCTACATCTTATCTTGCCACACTGTGGGTGACAGAGCCTGTCCTCATTATCTTATGCCCAACCATGAGCCCTTGTGTAGGAGAAGTGAGAAAAGTGAAGTCTGGGGTGTGATTTTGATTGTCATGTGGGAAGAGAATGTAAACGACTCCCTCCCCGTGGACCAGGGATCTGAGTGTGCAGGCCTTTAAAGATGGATCCAGGGCACGGCACTCTCTTCTCTGCCTGACAGCCGAGAGCGCACCTCCTACTTCCTTGGCCACGAGCACACATTTTTAATAAGGCATCAGTTGAGCAGCAGAATAGTGGATAGGAGTTTTAATTGCATTCTGCTTCCCATAAACTCCATCCCTTCACTGTGAACGAAAATATCACCACCTTGAGGGTCCACAAGGTGACCTAGGCAGTCACCAAGATTTGCATAAAAATTCTGGTGAAGATTCAACCCACTTCACCAGCCTATGGTGCAAAATCAGGTCTCCTTTTCGCTGGTGTCCAGATCATCTGGTGTCCAGCCCTTGTCCTAGTGATCCTGACAAAGCTGTCCTTCTGGAGTTCCCTAACTCCCAGAGATTGGGGGGATCTTTAGAAAGGAATCTGATAATTAATAACTGTGGCAACTGGGGAAAATGAAATGTTTGGCCATTTCCCTTGAGGTAGACCCTTTCTCTGGGCTGCTGCCTCTGCATGGTGCTGCCAAATGAACCCAAGGTTTGAGAATTTCAGAGCAAGTTTAGAAGCTCCAAGGCACTGAAGTGCACCTGGCCTTGTTTCTGAGCACAGGGTGTGGAAGACACTGCTTCCCCACTCAGGCAAGGCTCATTCTTATTCATGGTTGCTTCACGCCAAACTAGGCCCCAACTAACACATAATCCTATCACTTTACACTCACACACAGACATGTTCCCATGGGTACGCCATTTTACCTTTACATGGATTCAGGAAAGCTTATAGAACTTGCTATGCCAGAAACAGCTCTCCCCATCAGCAACTCAGGCACTGATGTTGAACCTAAATCCAACTCCCTTGGGACCACCGTGTCTCATCTGTTGGCTTCATTGGGCCATCGGATATCCTCCACTAACTTAGAAACTGGATGCTTTGATTTCTTTCCTTCTATATGGCTATTTGTTCCTTCATAAGAATCTGTTGACAGAAACATATGCAAAGGAGAGAGATAACACCCAGCTTTATCCACTGTGCAAACTGTGACTCAGCAACTTCCTATGCCAAGGAGAAAGCCAGCATGTGCTTGTCTCATATCACATTTTTAAACATGACTACCTGCTTTTTCCCCTGAGCACACAAAAAAAGAGTCTGCTATGCTGCTAAAATTAGAAACGATCAGAGATGTTGGATGCCAGTTTTCCAAAAGAAAAAAAAAATATAACTGACACAAACAAGCAAATTCAAATAAATAAAAAGATTCTCCATCCCCCTAAACAGTGCTATTTTTAACTATGAAGTCATCTCAGGAGAAACACTATTATTGAGGAAGAATAGATGATTTCTGATAAAAGTAATGTTTTGTGTGTGAAAAAGTAGCCACCAACATAGATATTCTGTTAGGGGTCGAGAGAGAGTCCATGGGATCCAATACAGATTGAACAAACCAGGTCCAAAAAGCAGCTCCAAAAGCCAAACCTTTTTGAGTGCTGACATGATACCACAAGTGAAAAACCCCACAGCATGAAATTTTGTTTCATGCACACAATTATTCACAACATTGTATAAAATTACCTTTGGGCTCTGAGCACAAGGTTCATATGGAACATAAATGGATTTTGTATTTAGACTTGTGTCCCATCCAGAGTTATCTCATTATGTATGTGTACATTTCCAAAATCTGAAAAAATCCAGAATCCAAAACACTGCTGATATCATATATTAAGGGATACACAACCTGCACTATAGCCAGGAAATTTGAGTGTAGGATGAGGAATACTCCACTTGAGTCATACAATGTTCAAAGGATGCTTAACTTGCTGGACAATGAGATGTGGAACATAAGGGTAACCTGTCAAGTCCCAAGTAAACTAGAGCTAAGAGTATTCCACACACATTTCCTGTGGATAGATATAAGGCCGGACAACTTTACCCCATGCCAGTTCAGACAGGGTGGAATCACATCAAACATTAGACTAGATTTCAAGATCAGCAAACAAAGCAAACATTATGTATAATTAAGTTGGAAAAAAAAGTGCTCCAATGCACCTGCAGAATGTATTTTGTGTGCGTGTGTGGGTACCAACCCAAAAGAACATCAGAGTCATATCTGTTTCCACTATTCTTGGGCATATGCGTTGAGTGGAGTGGCAGGTGGAATCACCCACAATATTGTAATGTTCTATTTCTTTCAAGTGCATCTGAATTACAGATCACATTACTTAAATGTGCATATGATGCGACCACACTGCAAGTGGGAAGGGGAGATGTGCACACGCAAGGTCTTAAAAAAGTACATCACACAGGGAGAGGCAATGTTCACCAAGAAGTGCAAAGGAAAATATCCTTCTTAAAATAATTTTTTGTGTCAAAACAGGGAAAATAATTTTGGGGTGCTCTCAATAAGTTGCTAGTGTGAGATGAAGCCAAAAAATAAAAGAGGCTAAATGAGAGAGTGACACAATTCTTGAAACATGTTCTAAAGTATTTCTAGATTTTCTAAATATTTTATAGTGTTTCTCAGTCCAGGCGACCACACAATTTCTCCTATTGCACTAGTAGTTCCTTGTCTGTCTTTTTGCTCCTTCCCCCTCATCTTCCCAGCCTCTAAATTTTGGGCTCCCACTGGTCTTTGTCTTTGGATCTCTTCTATCCTATGTATATACTTGCTTACTTGATGTTGCTTCCATTCCCATGGCCTTATAGACTATGTATTATGGTTCAGATATGAGGTGTCTTCCAAAAGCTCATATGAGAGACAATGCAAGAAAGTTGAGAGATGAAATGATTGGGTTATGAGAGCCTCAACCTAATTGGTGCTTTAATCTCTTGGGTAGGGATTAGCTGGGTGGTAACTCTAGGCAGGTAAGGAGATGGGTCACAAAGGGGTGTGACTTTGGGGTGTATGGTAAGCCCAGCTTAGAGGTTCTCTCTGTTTTCTAATTGTCATTTTCTGAACTGCTTTCCTCTGTTATATCCTTCTGCCCTGATGTTCTGCCTCATTTGGGGTATAGAGCAAAGGAATCAACCATCTATGGACTGAGATCTCTGAAACCATGAGCCCCAAATAAACTCCCCCCTCCCCCTGTAACTGTTCTTGGCAGATTTATTGGTCACAGTGGTAAAAATGCTGACTCAACCACTGTATACCCTGATGGTTCTGCATGTATATCTGAAGCTCGGAGCTCTAGACTCACCTATCAATCACCCATCTCACATTTCCACTCTGATGCAGTAGGCATCTTAGGCAAATGCGTCTAAGACTGACCCTTTGATTCCCCATTTCCAACATACTCTCTCTTCCTTCCGCATATCCTATCTTTGTCAGTGGTCACTATTCACCCAATTGCTCAGGTCGAAAATCTGGTATCAATCTTCATTTTCTCTCTCTTTTTATTTATTCATTTTCTCTCTCTCCATGTATAATTCAACACAAAATCCCACTGCATAAATATTTAATATATATGTACCATCAACCTGATCATCATCTTTCTTGGTACCATCCTGGTCTAGGCCACCAGCATCTCTTTCTTGGATCACTGCCATCTTTTAACTGGTATTCCTTCTTCTACTCCAGACTCACCCACACTGTTCTTCTCATAGTGGTCAGAGATACCGTTTTAATCTACAAATCAGAACATGTGTCTCTTTTATTCCAAAGTTTCAGATGGTTTCCAAAGTTTCAGATGGTTTCAAGTCTCCATGGCTTTTAAGACTCTCCCTGACTCCTCCATCTGACCCCTGCCCAAGTAGTCTTCAGCTAAATCTTGTGATTTTGTAATTTTGCCCCCCACCCACCTTTTTTTTTTTTAAACTAACTTTGTAATTTTGGCTTTTAATAGTTCCCAGAACCACACTAAACTCTCATCTTATAGGAACACTTTTGTTTGCTAGTTCCTTCATCCTGCAACCCCCTTTTGTAGTTTTAATACAACTGGCTCCATACAACAAGGACAAAAAGCCATTCCAGAAGAGAAGAGTATGATTAAAAGAACTAACCAGGATTTACTCCACACTTCAGATCTTCAGCACCATGGATTCAACTGTGTTGGAAAGAAGAGGGAAGTTGCTTAAATCAAATTTGTGAGTGAATTGTTAATCAAAATACATTTTTAATAAAGCAAATATTGTGTGATTTGCTCAACTGTTGTAAAAAATACAGATGGAAAATTCACTATAGCATAGTGGAAGGCAAATTTTGAGGTGATATTTAGAAGAAAGAATTAAAAATATTTTGTATTCATGGCACCTCCAATTGATACTTCTCAACAAGAGTTCCTGTGGTTTCAGAGAAAGCCAGCTATGCATACTTTTATCAGAAGCAACCACATTGCAAAACTTCTGTATTGGTTCTAATAATAGTTGATTCCTTTAAGTTTTCTCAGTAGTGTATCTGGGATATATTACAAGAATATTATACCCCAATTGAGCAGTAGTATGCATGAGGCAATGGAAAAAAATCTTAAAATGTGGATAGTCAGAAAATGGAACTTTCGTTTATTAAAACAAAACAAAACAATGACATACTTCAATTGATGAGGGTGGAAATTTAAACCATAAACAACTCAAGAAAGGTAAAACTCTATGAAAGTACCTGAGGTAAATATCAAAATCAATAAATCTACAGATGACATACATACTTGTAAATGTCAATTAGAAATATAAATGCATCAGTCAAAGCAGCTTTTTAAAAATAATTGCATATTATGAAATTAATCAAGCAATAGCAAAATGGATCTATTATTCCAAGCTGATTAATACTAATTAAGAAAATAAAGTAAAAATATACCAAACGTTTTATGGCAAATATTATTAGACTCAAGAGCTACTGAAAATCAGAACTATGTGACTTAAAATGTCTCTCCGAAGAGAGACCAGGAGACTTAAAATGTCTCTCTGAAGCAGGCTCAGTAGAATAAAAAGCTTTTACTTTCAAATCACTGTAGGATAGAAAATAAAAACCATAATGTTGATATAATTGTTAAGTATCTTTGTGAATTGAAAAAAACACCACCACCACATCACTTTCATTTTATACAATGTTGGTTGTAAACATAGGGATACAAACATAAATGTAATATGTTGTAGTCATTAACACTATATCCACTAATTTTTTTTTCAAAAAGCTTGCGCCCATAAAAGGATGCTAATATTCAGAAGATAAATTAATATATATTTATTTACTTTTTATTCAAAAAGCATGAGTATATTTTTGTTTATATGTTCATAAAACGCTTAGAACACACTTAGCAGTATTAGGATACAAATCTTCAATAATTTTCAAGTAATCGATATTGTACAGGTCAAAATGCCTTGAAGTCATACATAAATAAAAATATATTTTATTGCATTTATAAACTTTAATACCATTATTTTTATGCCTTTGTTTAGTATTTAGTATGCAAAATTTAATATGCCCAAATATTGGTGTCCTCCTTTTTCCTTATTAATAGAACAGATCATTTTTAGCGATAAACCAGAATAAAGACTTATTTCCCACTTTCCCTTGCAGCTAGGTTCAGTCATGTGACTATATTTTAGCACAACTTCTAGTAAATATTCTTCCAAGGATGGGGTGCACTTTTCTTTATCACTTCCTTCTTCCTCCTGGTGCAGCAATGGATTGGCGTGCAAGCAGCTGTGTGCGACTCTGGAGCCTCAGTGGAGGATGGCTAAGTGACAAGGTCAGTGCTCTTGGGGACCTGCTGTCACAGAGGACGTTGTTTTTACTTTTGTCTCAGCAGAGACAAAAAGTTAGTGAGAGAAACATGGAACTGCACTGAGTTGTGCAGAGGTGTAAGTAGTTGACGAAAAGAAGCAGTAAGGAGTGCAGGCTATTCTTCCAATAGGGCAGTAAAGGAAGTCTGGGGCAGAACCTTGTGGGAGAGAGTCAAGTTTGGGAGCCAGCGGATCGTGCCTTTTCTGGGATAGGGAGGGGAGGAGAGTGGAGAATCTACAATGTTTGTAGTCTGAATCCAAAGAAAGATTTATCACACTAATTAGAACAAAGAGAAAAAGAAAGAGTTACCATTGAAGGGAGAGGGGAAAAAAGGAACAAACTATTGGAACAAAAATCTAAGAAGAGTTGGAAGATTATAGCAAATGGGGAGATCTCCCAATGAATGGAGATAAATTTTGATGAATAGGATAAGGAAATAAAAAATTCAGTAGCATCAGTTTTTATTTTTAACTTAAATAAATCATATAATAAGAAGCAGGGAAATACACAAGCTTTAATAATATTTGAGGGGTTAGGAAATCAGCAAATGGTAGAGAGGAAAAAGCATGGGGAGTATTCCTGAGGCCTCACCTGAAGCTGGCTGTAAAGACCTGTCATGAACAGGGAGCAAAGCAATACAACTGTCATCGGCAGCACTTTGCAGCTCAGAAAGTAGAGTGGGTCATAGTGAATCATTAGGCTGTGAGGGAATGGACTACTTGCAAGGCTTACAGAGCAGATCAAAGGGTCAGTGGAAATGAGTGTGTTGATGACAGTGTGGTTGAAATAATAAGTCATGAGGTCCACACAAGCTAGGGAATGAGTTGGAATAGGAGGGATTGAGAACCTGGTTAAATAGAGACAAGCAGGGAGCTCAGGCGTGGTCATGAGGTCAGTGGGTAGAGTAGATGTGAAGATGATGTGGCAACCAGGGAGCCTGTTGGTCCACCCAGGGAGACATAGAATACAGGAGTTCAGGGGCAGAGCAGAGAGTCCAGGAGGTAGCAGTGGATGGAGTTAAAGCAAAGAGAGAGGGGAACAGTAAGGGGAGAGGGGATCAAAGCCTGTGAAGCTGAAATATGAAATACCTCATCCAAATGAAAGTTGAAGTCACCCACGGTTTTGAAAGGAAAAAGGAAGAAGGAAACTGATCCAGGCCCCAACTTTGTTCCAAAGGCCGTGGCTGTAAACCAAAAACTAACAGCATGGAGATGTACAGTCACTGGAAATAAGCCAGTGAGCCAAACAACGGGTTTTTCGTAAACGTAAAACCCACAAAATGTGTACCATTAGTTCCATTTTAAAGTATTTTAAGAAAATGTTTTTATTACTTTTTGGCCACTGAGAGTGAGATATGTTGAATCCTTACTGTTGTTATTATCTTCCTAAGAATAACAATATTTTGGTAGTTAGGACAGAGCCATGCAAGACCTCTGTGCTATTGATTTCTTACTTTTTTCTTATTCCAGTAGAGGGCACTCAAAGCTCAAATAAATGTGTATAATCATTTTTACTGCAATGGATTTATATAACTAAAACTCATATTTACATGAAAAAAGAGAAATTCAGATCTCCTAAGACTTAATTACTAGTCATGCATGGACATTTCACTAAAATGAGATGAGATCTTATGAATGGCAAAACGAGCACAGGCCTCCATGGACATTGCCTCCATACTCACTCAACACCTACTAAAAATAGAAAGGACAGACTCTGGTCTGAAAAACAAGATGGGCTTCTAAACATCAGGCCTACAATAGATACTAGATCCTCAAGTTCCATTTTATTCCCACCTGGACCACTTTGAGAAGGGTTTTCAATAAACTACGGATCATCTTGTAGGCTATTGGGCAGATAATATTGTTCAGTGAAACAAGTCTAAGAATTAAGGCAGAAATAATTTTGGAACTAGAGAAGCCACCTCTGGCAAATACATAGCACAGATGAATGAGATCACTGACAGAGAGTTTGCAGCCACTGTGAGCAGCCCACAGGAAGTACTTAGGACAGTGGTGTTTTAGAGAGCTGTGAAAATCTAAGTATCGTCAGTACTTGAGGGGAGACTATCTTCCAAGCACAAGATTAACTTTATGTGGCTTTGGCTGCCAGAGGATGATAGTAGAAGATGTGAACAGTGGTAACAAGTGGTAACATCGCTGTCAGCATTTCATCAAACACCCTTCTGGAGGAGTTAGACCCTGGGGTCAAATGACTCTACAGTAATCATCTCTGACACAGCTGATCTAGGCTGCTATGATCCAAACACTGTGGCTTTTCCAAACAGAAGATGGTTTGGTTTGGCCTTACTTCTTATGCCATATAAGGATTATTTGTAGGGAGTGAATGGGAATCTCGATAGCATCCTTCGATGGTGGTGATCTATCAGTATGAATTAGCTTCTTCGGTAGAATTCAGTTAAAGGGAAGGGAAGACTCTTTCCAGAAAAAAGTCTTTTTTTGGCAGGATGGTAACCCTGGCTTTCTAAAGAGTGTGTCATGACTTACTTGCAGCATATTTTTTTTCCAAAGCATTTGTTGCAAGACTCTGAAACATTACGATTTAAACAACTTCCCTTATCTGCCCTCTGCCTTCACCAGACATACAGCCATCCAAGCACTCATAAACTGAGCCTTGTCATTTCTGGAATATCTTAGGACTGGGGTTTTCCAGTCATATTATAGCTGCATCAACTCCCCTATGCTCAGCGTGCACATGCTTGTGGGATGAAGGTCTGAGAAGCTATGCAAAATGTATTTTTTTAAAAAAATGTTCCCTTTTCCCTAATAACATGGCAACACAAGATAAAGGATTTAGAATTTAAGACCCTGAGGGTGTCCAAACATCAATAATGAAAACTGAGCAACTTTAAGATTATGAGTTAAATATAGAATATATATTTATGTCTTGCTGTAAATGTTGGTCATGTCTAGCCTTGCCACATATTGTTGAAAGACCAGGGGCAGCTGTCTCATTGTTTATTCTTTTTCTCAGCTCTCTGACATTGACTTGATTTATAGTTGTTAAGTGATAAATTACAAGGTTGAGTCTAGTTTCTAACCCTCTGGCTAAATATTTCTCATTACCTGGTTAGGCAAGCTAAATATTTTATTTAAAATGACTGTGATGATATTAGAGCAGATTATGCTAAGTGAAGTTAGCCAATTCCTAAAAAAAAAATGCCGATATAAGGGAGGTGACTCAAAATGGGGTAGGGAGGAAGGGCATGAGAAGAAAATTACCTCTAGATAGGGAAGAGAGGTAGGAGGGAAAGGGAAGGAGAAGGGGAATTGCACGGAAGATGGAAGGAGACCCTCATCGTTATAC